CGGGGGGGGGTGGTCGGTGCGTGTGGAGGTGGCGGGGGCGGTTCGCGGTTCATCATAAAAGGCAGAGGAGCTTTTATTTCTTTATTGCTCGCGGTGGTCATTTCGCCGGGGTCTGGAAAAGATATGTCAGGGCGCGGCCGCGGGGTTGAGGTGGCTGCCGGGGAAGGCGCTGGGAGCAGAGGCAGACGACGGATCACTTTTAAGTTACTGTAGGCTTTGAAGGGACAATGCGCGTCTGTTATTTTAAAAGGTTTCTCTCTCTCCCTCCCTCCCTCCCTCTCGCTTTTCTCCCTCTCGTTTTCTCCTTCTGCCACACAGTTTCCTGGCAACTGTTTACGTCTAGACTAGAGACATTTTCTCGAAGAAAGTGAGATGTCCAGGGACTATGTGAAAAAAAAAAAAAAAAGAAAAAAAGAAAAAAAGTTTCTCTCTTTTGACCAGCAACAGCCATGATTAACTTGTTCCATGCTGTAATTCCCAACACCCCCCAGCACTCGCTTCCAGCATTACATGATCCGTCTCGCCTTTTCCTCTCCTTCCCCCTGCTTCCCCCACATTATTTGACCAGCAGCCCCCCTTTCCCCTTCCCGGGAGCTGCTTTCGCGGAAATATTTGGGTCTGGGTGCATTTTGACTCCCTCAGTGTCCCTCTCTCCCTCTGGCCTCCCCCTCCTCTCCTCCACCTCCTCCCCCCTTTTTTTCCCCTTTTTGTTAATAATTAGCCGCACTCTTTAATGGAACAATGGTAGATTATTATTGCTCCTTTTCAAAGATCCCATTAACAAGGTTATTATGCGCTGCACGGGAAGTCAGGTAAATTAAACTTGCATTGCTGGAAATTAAGTTTCAGGCGGGGAGAGCGCGGATTTTTTTACACCTTCGGGGGGTCATTGTTTTAAATACTCCAGCCCTGCAGCTCACGGCTCCGTCGGGTTTATTTTCCGATGTGATTTTGGGCGTGCATGAGCATTACAGGGGAGGCTTCACTGCTGCCAATGGCTCTCTATGTCTGAGTTCCAAGAACAAGGGGTTTTTTCAAGTGTTTTCGTGGTGTTGGCTTGACTTTATGGCTGCAATAAGTCCCTCGGTAGGGAAACCCCCGCTGTGTTCTCACTTCAGAAGGATCGGGAATTCCAGCTCCCCATGAAAAAAAAGAGAGTTTCATTTTTTATTGGAACCAACTGCACTGAACTTTTTACCAAGTTCTCAGTGGCTTCAGCTCTCAGACAAGCAGCGCTCTGTTCTGTTTGCATTTCGAAATATTTGGGTGTTGTTTTAATCCCCTCATCTATCTGCCTGGCTCTGCTCGGTGGGCTTGATCTCCGCCGGCCAGAAAAGCCAGGCGACAAAAAGTGGGACCTTCCCGAGCGGAGAACTGGGGTTGCACATATCGTAAATACTTCTCTTTATCTTTATTTACACCCTGGCAGCTGAGCGATGTCTGTCAGGAGGGGAAAGCCGCCTTTCCCAGCGCGGTTCAATGTGTTAGACCACCTTCTGCCGCGTCCCGAGGGTTCCCCACTTTGGGGTTCCTTCTCAGCAAACCTCGCACCTCTTTTTTGGGGAGACGAGGCCAAAAATCGAGGAAAGATGCGGCCGTCGGTGCCCTCAAAGAGCAGTGGAACTTAAGGGCTACTGTCTGAGCTGGCCTCAGCCGTTAGTGCTCCTGTCTGTCTCCCCCCCGGCTGAGCCGGTGTGAGAGGCGTCCAAAGAAAATACATTCGCCAAATCGGGCTCAGATTTACTTCGGACCTCGGGCGGGAGGGCGCCTGTTAAACAGCCACACCAATAACCCGGGGGGTTAGATTTTAAATTTCGCTTTTAGAAGCTGCCGAGCCGGGAGTGGAAACCGCGTCTGCGCTTAAACGTTCAATTCTCGGAGATTTAGTGCGGTTTAAGACCTCTGCTCGTATTTACATGTATCATAGGTGGCAAATCAATTAGACCGCGGGCCTGACCCTCCGGAAGATGAAAACTGTGACAGGCTTTGGGGTTGTTGTTTGGTTGTTGGTTTTTTTTGGGTTTTTTTCCCACGTTGGGAACCAAGTTTTCTTTTTAAACTCCCCCAAATAACCACTTACGGGGGCGTCCTTCTAAGAGGAGTAGTTTTTTTGTCTATAGCGCATCTAAGGTGTCAGCAATAAGCGATCAGCAAGCGGCCACCTTCGATTAGAGCGTTTTTATTTTCTTTTAAAACGCTGACCGTCGAACCACGTGAAGCGCCTGTTTCAGCCACAAATTACTGCAATAAGCAGAGCTGGGATCAGGGGGTGTGAGATCCCCCCCTCCCCTCCCCCAGACTATTCGGAGGGATGTAACTGCAGAGCAACCACGAGAAGTGGGAGAAAATATGAGAGCGAACATTTTCAGCGGATGTACTCACGCGTCGAGTTATCGGGACATCCCATTTCTTTGCCCAAAAATTTGCATGCGGGGCTGCTCCTGCCAGATAATCGCTGGGTCTGCAGGGCTACAAATATTGCGCAACTCTCTAATCAGATGTGGGAGCTGTTCGGCTCCTGCAAAGCAGGAAACTTCGGGCTCTCATCCGAGCTTT